CAGCAACAGATGCAAAATGAAAAATTTTGAACTAAAGCTTGCATGAGATTTTTTTTTAAATTTCCCATTCTTGCTGGTGCTTGGTCCACCCCCACCCCCAAATGCAATGTAGCAATGATAATAAATGTCATCTGATTGTCTCATCAATTTGTTATCACTATGTTATCTTTTATGTGAAGCGTACCTTCCACAGTTGACTGAAATACAGACCTCACTCAGCCTTAAGGAATCCAGTTGTTTAAACAAGATGCCTTTGATTATCAGCAAAGCACATTTATTCAACTAACATGCACACGTTAAACATGGCATTAACTTTCTGTTGTTAAAGTCCCTCCAAAAACATCAGTTCAAGAAAGGCACGCCTCCCTCCAAACAGTTAATAACACTGACAAAACCTTGTTTACTGGTCTTTTCTGAGAAGCACACTTCTTAGCCAGAAGGTAATTTGGCCATGTTTGGAGAGAAGAGAGAGTTTGGAAAAAGAGTCACGATGGAGGGACAAAGACTGCAAAAAGAAAGCAAGCTGACAGGGATAAGACTGCTGGCTTTCCTTCACTAAGCTCAGTGCATGGCTAAACTTATATTTAACTGCACTTTTAAACTTGTAAACCGAACAAGGATCAGATAACAGCTGATCAGTTAAATACCTCTTAGAGTGATTCAAGGTTGGGGTTAAGACAAAAGAAATCCACTTTTGGATGAGTGCATTCCGGTTTGTTTTTACCATCCTGATAATAAACCTTAGGTTAAGTCACTTTGGCAACATTTTCCGATATGCCCGCAACTAAAGGCATAAAACCCCTGCAATTAAACAGAATTTTGATATAATTTATTTATTTAGCTGCAAAGGTAGGCACACTTAAGGCTACTTAAAGGTAGGTACACTGGAAACTACCTTTGGTTTTTACAGGAAACAAAAAAATAGCTATACTAAATTCACTAAATTTAAGTACTTCATTGGCAGTTTGTGATTTCATGTTAATTTTGCAGAAAAGCAAACAATAATTCCCCATCTTACATCATAAATACACTGTGGTTTTTGGGGTACGGGGCATGTTATGGAGTGGATTAATCTTGCCTTTTTTACATCTTTATTGTTTTACTTCTTGGCTAGCAGTATCAGCGAACATGTTAAACCTGTAGCCTCAACCCTTTTCATCCATCTGTGGCTGCTTTGCTTGGCTTCCTGTTCAGAGCTGCTGAAGGCCTGGTCAAACTAACTTGACTACCCATTGGTCATGAGGTTATCGCTACCCTCATCAACTTCTCCTTCACATGCTAACTGCTTAACTGAAGCTGCATGGTGGTATCAAATACATGATATATTACATTATCTAATTTAATTTCGCAACAGGTCCGGGAAGGGAAAATTCCTCTAAATGACCATGTGGTTTTAGCTTTTCCAAAAATCAGCCAACTGGCCCCAGCTTCCTGGCTCTGCTCATTTAAAATTCCTATGTAAATACGCCAGCAGGCCTCTTTCCGACTGTAATAATATTTGTGATAGGTGCCACCGCGTCCCATGCTGCGTTTTGTGTCAATCTGCTGTCTAGACAAGCTCTACTCTTCCAG